GGCACGTACCTGAGCTCGAGGCAGCCCAGCTGCAGGGCCATGCCTTCGCTCACCTTGCTGGCGTAATTCTGCATGTACTCGCTCCGGAGCTGCCGAGGAGACGTGGGAGTCAGGAGGTGGAGTGGATGCTCGCAGGGGATGCTTATGGGATGCTCTCAGGGGATGTTGACAGGGGGTGCTCACAGGGGATGCTCGCAGGGAATGCTGGCAGGGGATGCTCCGAGGAGATGTTTGTAGGGGATGCTCGTATGGGATGCTCACGGGGGATGTTCGTAGGGGATGCTCGTACGGGATGCTTGCAGGGGATGCTTGTATGGGACGCTCGCAGGGGATGCACGCAGGGGATGCTCGCAGGGGATGCTGGCACGCAGGGGATGCTCGCAGGGGATGCTGGCACGGGATGCTCGTATGGGATGCTCGCAGGGGATGCACGCAGGGGATGCTCGCAGGGGATGCTGGCACGGGATGCTCGTATGGGATGCTCGCAGGGGATGCACGCAGGGGATGCTCCAAGGAGATGCTCGCAAGGGATGCTCGTATGGGATGCTCGCATGGGATGCTCATATGGGACGCTCGCAGGGGATGCTGGCATGGGATGCTTACAGAGGATGCTGGCAGGGGGTGCTCATGGGATGCTCACAGGGGATGCTGTCAGGGGATGCTTGCAGGGGATGCTTGCAGGATGCTTACAGGGGATACTCACAGGGGATCCTTACAGGGGATGCTCATAGGGAATGCTGGCAGGGGACGCTTACAGGGGATGCTGGAAGGGGTTGCTTGCAGGGGATGCTCGTATGGGATGCTCGCAGGGGATGCTCCAAGGAGATGCTAGCAAGGGATGCTCGTATGGGATGCTCGCAAAGGATGCTCATATGGGATGCTCCAAGGAGATGCTGGCAGGGGATGCTAGCACGGGATGCTTGCAGGGGATGCTCACAGGGGATGCTCACAGGGGATGTTGGCAGGGGACGCTTACAGGGGATGCTTGCAGGGGATGCTCCTATGGGATGCTCACAGGGGATGCTCCTATGGGATGCTGGCAGGGGATGCTTCAAGGAGATGCTCGCAAGGGATGCTCGTATGGGATGCTCGCAAAGGATGCTCATATGGGATGCTCCAAGGAGATGCTGGCAGGGGATGCTGGCAGGGGATGCTCACAGGGCATGCTCACAGGGGATGCTCACAGGGGATGCTCGCAGAGGATGCTGGCAGGGGGTGCTCATGGCATGCTCACAGATGATGCTTGCAGGGGATCCTTACAGGGCATGCTCACAGGGGATGCTTGCAGGGGATGCTGGCATAGGATGCTCACAGGGGATGCTGGCATGGGATGCTCACGGGGGATGCTGGCATGGGATGCTCACGGGGGATGCTCGTAGAGGATGCTGGCAGAGGGTGCTCATGGGATGCTCACAGATGATGCTTGCAGGGCATGCTCACAGGGGATGCTCTCAGGGGATGCTTGCAGGGGATGCTCGCAGGGGGTGCTCATGGGGTGCTCCCAGAGGATGCTCACGGGATGCTTACAGGGGATACTCACAGGGGATCCTTACAGGGGATGCGCATAGGGGATGCGCATAGGGGTTGCTGGCAGGGGATGCTTGCAGGGGATGCTGGAAGGGGTTGCTTGCAAGGGATGCTCCGAGGAGATGCTCAAAGGGATGCTTGTAATGGGAGGCTTGCAGGGGATGCTCATAGGGGCTGCTCACAGGGGATGCTCATGGGATGCTGGCAGGGCATGCTCGCAAGGGATGCTCCGAGGAGGTGCTTGCAGGGGATGCTCGTATGGGATGCTCGCAGAGGATGCTGGCAGGGGGTGCTCACGGGATGTTCACAGATGATGGTCACAGGGGATCCTTATGGGGGATACTCACAGGGGATCCTTACAGGGCATGCTCACAGGGGATGCTGGCAGGGGATGCTGATGGGATGCTCACAGGGGATCCTTGCAGGGGATGCTCACAGGGGATGCTCATGGGATTCTGGCAGGGGATGCTCGCAAGGGATGCTCCAAGGAGGTGCTTGCAGGGGATGCTCGTATGGGATGCTCGCAGAGGATGCTGGCAGAGGGTGCTCACGGGATGTTCACAGATGATGCTCACAGGGGATGCTGGCAGGGGATGCTGATGGGATGCTCGCAGGGGATGCTTGCAGGGGGTGCTCATGGGGTGCTCCCAGAGGATGCTCACAGGATGCTTACAGGGGATACTCACAGAGGAACCTTGCAGGGGATGCGCATAGGGGATGCGCATAGGGGTTGCTGGCAGGGGATGCTTATAGGGGATGCTGGAAGGGGTTGCTGGCAAGGGGTGCTCACAGGGAATGCTTACAGGAGATACTCGCAGGGGGGTGCTCACGGGGTGCTGGCAGGGGATGCTGGAAGCGGATGCTCACAAGGAATGCTTAGAGGAGATACTCGCAGGGGGTACTTGCAGAGGATGCTCACAGGGGATGCGGGCAGGGGATGCTGATGGGATGCTCGCAGGGGATGCTTGCAGGGGATGCTGGCAGGGGGTGCTCCTGGGGGGTACTTGCAGGGGGTAGTCGCAGGGGATGCTCGCAGGGTCCACACCCTCCCGCATCCCACGCTGGGACGCAGCAGGGGCAGGAGCGGGTGACAGGGATGGGAGCGACTGTCCCTGATGGAGCTGCACAGACCCAGCAGGGGGATGGGACCACAGGGGCTGCCCACGAGCTACAGGTTGGGGAGAGCAGCAGCCCACGGTGAAGGTAAATGGTGTCCGGGCTCTTGGGAATCATGTTTTCTGGGCTGCGGAGGAGGAAACGCCCTCCTGGAGCTGGGGGGGGTGGGTCAGGGTGGATGGAGAACAGACCTGGCTGGAGCTAGAAGACCCCCAGGGCCACCTCTGACCTGCTGGTAGAAGTAGAGCAAGGTGGTCCTGTCCTCTTTGAAGCGCTCTATGAAATCCTCCGGCAGATAGCGGATTTGGAGATCGTACCTGGCAAGAGGAGAGCCCCTTGATGAGGACCACACTGGAGGAGCTTTCCCTCTAACAGGGCTCGGTGGTCTCTGTGTCCCTGTCCTGGGTGGGTCTGGGGACACGGAGAGGGACACCACCACCATCGGGTCCTACCTCCACTCAGCCTCCAGGTGCAGACACTCGTATTTCTCCTGCACTTCACCCACTGTCAGGTCCGGGTGCAGCCAGTGGATCTCATCCGACTTCACGTGCTTCAGGCGGAGCCCGTAGCACTCGGCCAACTTGATGTCGGGCCCGATGCGGCCGCTTAGCAGGATGGACCTGATCACCTCCTGGGGTGGGAAGGAGCAGGGCTGAGACATGAGCATCCCCAAACAGGCTCCAGATGAGCTTCAGATAATGGGAAACCAAGGAGAAAATACAGCACAACCACAACAGAAATGTCCCTGGAGCGAGAACGCAGCCCCAAGCGCAGCCACCAGCCCCAGTGGTCTCCATGGGAAGCCTCCAAAGATGCTTCCAGCCTGAACATGTCTCATCCAACCTCCCAGAGGTGTTTTGGTTGGGAATAAAAGCCCAGGTGGGTCATTTCCATCCTTCCTTATGCCTCAGCTGAGCTAACACCCGATGCACGGCATCGTTTGGAGCAGGTAGCAAAGCAGGCATCATTGCTGGTGAGCTTGTGGTGCAGCTTGTGTCTCTGCTTTCCTCCCCAGCAGCGTGGGCAGGGGGTCCCCAGGACCCTCCCAGGCCTCTTCTCTCACCCTGGTACCCAAATAACCAACTAAGAGCTGATAGTTGTTAACACAACCGGTGGCTGGGCTCTTCCCGGTGAGGAGTGACGGCCTCCAGCTTGCTCCGCTCCTGCATCCTGCTCTCTGCGCTCCCATCCCTGCGCTGGGGACAGCTGGACCGTTGCCTTTTCATGGCTTTGATTGCATTTCCCCTCCCCGGGCACCCCCTTCCCAGCCCAATGAGTCCTCTCCTGCTCCGACTGCTCCTCTGAAACCTTCTGCCATGCCATAACCTCCTCCCGGAGGAGCCCTGTCCCCCACCATGTCCCACCAGTTGAAGGACAAGCCCCAGCTCAGCTGTACTTTGGTCACCTCCTCATGACTTCACTGCAATGTGCTGCCTCGAGGATTTGCCCCAGGAGAAGGCACAGCATCACCCATCGCACACTGGGTGTGTATCTCTCATGGTGGACACCAACCCTACATCACCCAAGCGCAGAGCCAGCACTGGCCGGCAGGTCCCCAGTGCCCACACATCCTCCCCCAGCTGGGAAACCACAAGACTCCAGGTAGGAAGGGTGACGAGCACATTTCCAGCCCAAAGTCACCATGTCCATGATGGAAAGGTACCAACATCACCTTTGCTGTCCTCCCAGCCCCATATCCCCACAGGAAAAGGGCAGAAGTCAGATGCAGAAATCCTTTTTCGGCCCCCTCACCGCTGAGGACCTGTGTCCATGCAGGGCAGTGGGGATGGAGAAGAGGTGGGGACCCAGTGCAGGCTGAGCCCCAGCCCCGCAAGGCACCATCACGTCCCAAATCCACTTGTCCTTTGGCCTCCTCCCATTGCTCCCTGCACCCCTGTGCCTGGGGATGTCTTCTCCAGGGCCTGGACACTCGTCTTTGCTGCCCATGAAGGGGACCAGCAGCAACTCGCTGGGTCCGACCCTCGCTGCAGGAACCAGCAGTGGGGCTGATGAGCCCTCACCCTTTCCAAGCCCCTCCTTGAGGCACCAGAGATGGCCAAATTTTCTCTCTGTCCTCCAGGTTTTGATGCTTCTCAGCCACGGGGCTCCGGGGGCCCCCACACCATGGAGAAGGGTGTCCTGAAGGGAGCTAGCTTTGACGCCGGGTGGACAAACCAGTCCTCCATCCACCCCCCCCCCCACCCACATACCCGGATCTCCGTCGTCACCGGGCACTTCACCAGCTTGAAGTTCTTGCCCATGTTGAAACTGTTGCTGTAGAAGCAGACCTTGAGGATGCGCATCTCCTCCTTGTCCATCTCCAACGTCCCCATGCCCAAGGTGGCCTCCAGCGTCCCGGCCAGGCTGCGGGAGGAACTGCTCCGCGGGCGACCCAGCGCCTCGGGGATGGCCGACATCCTCAGCACGCCCGGGGTGCTAGGAGCTGAGCATCCCTTCCCTGCGGGAGAGACGCCGTGCTGGTAAGGAGAAGACCCTGGGGAGGATGGGGCGGGGGGTGGTGTCACCCTACGGGGTGGGGAGATGGTCGGGAGGATTGGGGATAAGGGAGGAAGGGGTGGGATGGGGACAGCGAGGACACCCCGGGGTGGGATGGGTTGGGGAGAGGAGAAAGGAAGGGATGGAGAGATGGAGGTGGACGGGGACAGAGATGGAGCATGAGCTGCCCCCATGCGCAGCCACCGCCGGGGCCCCCAGCCCAGCTCCTCCGAGCAGAGCCTTGTGTCCTTGTCACCTCCAGAGCAATACCTCTGTCTCCATCATCACCAGACCGATAGCTGTGTGTCCTTGGCACCTCCAGAGCAATACCTCAGTGTCCCCATAACCTCCTCAGCAATACCTGTGTCCCCATCACCCCCAGAGCAATGCCTCTGTGTCCCCAGCATCTCCAGAGCAATACCTCGGTGTCCCCATCCCATCCAGACCAAAACCCCTGTGTCCCCATCACCTCCAGAGCAATACCTCGGTGTCCCCATCACCTCCAGAGCAATACCTTGGTGTCTTTGTCACCTCCAGAGCAATACCTTGGTGTCCTTGTCACCTCCAGAACATTAGCTGAGTGTCCTTGTCACCTCCAGCTCTATGCCTCCGTGTCCCCGTCAACCCCAGAGCAATACCTCAGTGTCCCCATAACTTCCTCAGCAATACCTCTGTGTCCCCATCACCTGGAGATCAACACTCCTGTGTCCCCAGCACCTGCAGAGCAATAGCACGGTGTCCTTGTCACCTCCAGAGCAATACCTCAGTGTCCCCATAACTTCTTCAGCAATACCTGTGTGTCCCCATCACCTGCAGAGCAACACCCCTGTGTCCCCAGAACATCCAGAGCAATCCCTCTGTGTCCTTGTCACCTCCAGAGCAATACCTCTGTGTCCCCATAACTTCCTCAGCAATGCCTCTGTGTCCCCATCACCTCCAGAGCAATACCTTGGTGTCCTTGCCACCTCTAGAGCAATACCTCGGTGTCCCCATCCCATCCAGACCAAAACCCCTGTGTCCCCATCACCTCCAGAGCAATACCTTGGTGTCTTTGTCACCTCCAGAGCAATACCTTGGTGTCCTTGTCACCTCCAGAACATTAGCTCTGTGTCCCCATCACCTCCAGAGCAATACCTCTGTGTCCCCAGCACCTGCAGAGCAACACCCCTGTGTCCCCATCAGCTCCAGAGCAATACCTCGGTGTCCTTGTCACCTCCAGAGCAATACCTTGGTGTCCTTGTCACCTCCAGAACATTAGCTCTGTGTCCCCATCACCTCCAGAGCAATACCTCTGTGTCCCCAGCACCTGCAGAGCAACACCCCTGTGTCCCCATCAGCTCCAGAGCAATACCTCGGTGTCCTTGTCACCTCCAGAGCAATACCTTGGTGTCCTTGTCACCTCCAGAACATTAGCTCTGTGTCCCCATCACCTCCAGAGCAATACCTCTGTGTCCCCAGCACCTGCAGAGCAACACCCCTGTGTCCCCATCAGCTCCAGAGCAATACCTCGGTGTCCTTGTCACCTCCAGAGCAATACCTTGGTGTCCTTGTCACCTCCAGAACATTAGCTCTGTGTCCCCATCACCTCCAGAGCCATACCTCGGTGTCCCCATCACCTCCAGAGCCATACCTCGGTGTCCCCAACACCTCCAGAGCAATACCTCGGTGTCCTCAGCAATCACCATTTCATCGCCCCCCAGGAAACCCAGGGGAGACTTCGGGCTGCAGCTTCCCAGTAGGTACCTGCAACTGCAGCTGCGGTTCCGCAACGTGACCTCCCAACTCAACTCAATTTAGCACGTAGCTTTGCAAAAAAAAAAAAAAAAAAGAACCAACAAAAAAAAACCCCAAAAAAACACCAAGCAACCAATAAAAAGCAAAATGGGGTGAGCAAGCTGGGTTCCTTCGCCCCCGGAAGGGTGATACTGGTTTATATCGATCTGCTCTTTTATTTTTAGAAGGGATAAAACCCAGAAGCCAGCTCAAAAAAAAAAAAAAAAAAAAAAAAAGTCATTTCAGCCAGAAGGGAAGTGGCTTGAATTTTCCCTTTGCTGAGAAAAACAGTTTAAGGGGGTACGCAGGTCTTGGATCATCCGAATGGATCCAAAATCCTCCTCTTCCCGTGATTTTTGGGTTGCCAGCTGGGCAGGGCTGGCACGGACGAGGGTTTGTTCTGGGTGGTTTTCTCCACCTCTCTGGGCATTCACCCGGGCTGAGGCCAGGCAAACTCAGCTCACGTAACCCCCCCCAGAGCAAAGGTGTTTGTCTCAGCCCGGCCACCGGCTTCCCGGGAAAGGACGGAGCTTTGCACGGAGCCTGAGCCGGCAAAAAAGGACTGGAGAGACATGGACCTGTTGGAGCGGGGCCAGAGGAGGCCCCGGAGCTGCTGGGAGGGCTGGAGCCCCTCTGCTGGGAGGACAGGCTGGGAGAGTTGGGGGGGTTCAGCCTGGAGAAGAGAAGGCCAAAAAGGGGAGACCTCAGAGCCCCTTCCAGTGCCTAAAGGGGCTCCAGGAGAGCTGGGGAGGGACTCTGGGTCAGGGAGGAGAGCCATGGGATGAGGGGGAACGGTTTGACACTGACAGAGGGGAGATTGAGATGAGATATGAGGAAGAAATTCTTTGCTGTGCGGGTGGTGATCCCCTGGGGCAGGTTGCCCCGAGAAGCTGTGGCTGCCCCATCCCTGGAGGGGTTCAAGGCCAGGTTGGACGGGGCTTGGAGCAACCTGGGCTGGTGGGAGGGGGCCCTGCCCAGGGCAGGGGGGGGGAATGAGATGGTCTTCAAGGTCCCTTCCACCCCAACCCATTCTGTGACTCGATGATTCCACAAAGCAGCCCGCACAGCAGACGCACGGGACGAAGTCAGGTTTGCAAAGAGCTGCTCCAATCCGCGTCTCTTCGGGAGCGAAGTAAGAAATCAATGTGGAAGTTCACCCCTGAGGCTGTTTCGGAGCTGCGGCCCCGGCTGAGCCCGGCCCTCGAGTTACTCATTAAACAGCCGAGGAGCTGTTTGCAATCAGGAGCTCTCCTGTGCGTCACTCCGTGTCTGCAACACGGAAAGGTCCCGGCGTAGCACCGGAGAGGGGGAGGAATTCTGGAGGGGCAGAGAGGGACTGGGGAGGTGATGGGGTGCCCGGAGGGTCTCCCCGGCTCTGCCCGACGGAGGCAGACAGGGTGAGGAGCAGACCTGGAAGATGCCGCAGGGATGGGATGGGGCGGGTGGGATCGGCTGCGAGATGTCCCATAGATCCCATTGCGTGGGGCTGAGGGTTCCGCTCTCCCCACCGTGTCCACGGGGTCGGACAGCCGAGAGAGCCTCTAATACGACAGCAAACAGGTTCTCAGCATCCCTCGTCTCATCCAGGGCAACGCCAGGCAGCCCAACCCAAACCTCACGGCTGGAGGAACCGCAGGTCGGGGGCTGCAGCCATCGCCCCCATCACCAACCTCAGCAAAACCACAGAAGCTGTGGTTGCCCCATCCCTGGAGGTGTTCAAGGCCAGGATGGACGGGGCTTGGAGCAACCTGGGCTGGGGGGAGGATTGGACTAGATGATCTTCAAGTTCCCTTCCAACCCAAACCACCCTATGACTCTACGATTCCATAAAAACCGAGCGCAGACGGGGCAGACGGCAAGAAAACCGCACAGCGAGGAGCTGCCGAGGGTTTTCTCTCCCCATTTCCCCCATTTCTCCTTCCTCGCTGGGATTTGCAGCGCCGTTTGCGCAGCCCTCAGAGGCGGCTTCGCCGTAATTACCGCCCAACGGGCGCAGCGGCACGCCGTGTGCTGCCTCCCCCCCCAGCTTCAGCTTTTTAAAGCCACTCGCCTGAGTCACCCTCCTAAAAATACGCGCGGTGGAGCCTGGCACTTTCGGGGTCCGTAGCGAAGGCTTCGCTGGCAGCGGTGCGACGCGTGGAAGGGCCCAGACTTTGTTTTCCAGGTTTCTCCCAGGGAACAGGCGAAGAGGCGGGAGCGTTGCTACGGCAGCGGTGGGATGCTAAAACCTTGGACTCGAGCAAAGCGGCGGTGCGGAGCCGGGTACCCTCACCCCC